TAATTATCATGCAGTTGGGTCCTGTTTTTTTTTTTATCCAGTCCAACAATGTCTGCTTTTTAATGTTAGACCACTTACGCTTATTCTAATTATCAATATGGTAAGGTTTAAATCTACCGTCTTGTCTTTTGTTCTCTATTAGTCTCATTTGTTCTTTGCATTTTCTTGTGACTTCTCTTGGATTATGTAAAAAATTCCATTTTACCTTCACTAGTATTAGCTAGACTTCCACTTAAAAAAATTATTGCTCTAGGCATTACCATATGTATCTTTAATAACTTATGAGTCTGTCTTCAAATAACATACTAGTCATATAATGTGAGACCCTCACGGACAGCATATGTCCATTCCCCTGATGATCTTACGTACCACTGCTGTCATGTTAACTTCTATATGTTATAAGCTCTACATTATGGTGTTATATTCCTTCATGTAGACCCACTTTCTATCTGATACCATGTTCATTTTGCTTGAAGAACTTCCTTTATTTTTTTGAAGATTGATTTATTCTAGACAGAGAGAGAGCATGAGTGGGAGGGGCAGAGGGAGAGGGATAGAGAATCTCAAGCAGACTCCGGCCAAGCACGGAGCCCCACGTAGGGCTTGATCTCATGATCCTGAGGTCATGACTTGAGCTGAAGCCAAGAGCTGGATGCTCAACCAACTGTACCACCCAGGTGCCTCTATGTTTGATAATTAAGGTTTGCTGACAGCAAATTTTATATGAAAAAGTCTTAATTTTGCTTTCACTTTTGAAAGATACTTGGTGAATATAGAATTTCAGGTTAAGGATTTTTTTTTTTACCCTAGCCTTTCAATGATGTCTTTTGACTTTCATTTGGTTTATATCATTCCAATTGAGAAAACTGTGAATTCTTTGTTCTTCTCTATGTTTTAGGGTATGAAAACATTTTTTCTTGAAAAAAACATTTTGTTTGGTTTTGTTTTCTGTTTGCTTTTAAGATTTTTCTTTTTATCACTGGTTTTCAGGAATGGATTATGATGTACCTTGATACGGTTTTCTTTGTATTTATCCTGCTTGGAATTTAGGTGTATACTTTTCATTAAATTTAGAAGACTTCTGACCATACGTGTATGTTGGAACACTTGATGTTATCCCATAGTTCATTAAAAGTCTGATTCCTTTTTTCCAGCCTTTTTCCTTTTCCCTTTTAAATCCTTCTTTAATTTGGATAGTTTCTTTCCAAACTATTTGGTTAGGTACTATTTCTTCCAGTTTACCAATTTGTTTTCCTTCTTCATTGTCTAATATGCTGATTATATTCCATCCATAACTTTCAGTATTTTCTTTTTTTAAATTTGGTTCTATTTTGTATCTTTTATTTCTCTTACTATGTTCCTGTTCACTTTTTATCTTTGAGCATATATATATTTTTTTTAACTTTTTATTTATGTAATCTCTGCCCCCAGTGCCGGGCTCGAACTCACAACCTCAAGATCAAGAGTTGCATGCTTTACTGACTGAACCAGCCGGGTGCCCTTTTGAGCATATTTCTATCAGCTCTTTCAAAGTCCTTGTCGGTTAATTCTGTCATCTCTAAGTTTGTTTCTATTGACTGATTTTTCTCCTGGTTATGGATTCCATTTTTTGGTCTCTGTATCTCTAGTGATTTTTTTTAACTGGATGATGGATATTATAAATTTTAAATGGTTGTGTGTTGAATTCCATTCTCTTCTTTTAACAGAACACAGTGGGCTGTGTGATAAGCTATCGAGTTATATGTAGTTCAGCTCAATCCTTTCAAAGCTTGTTTTTTGGTTTTATTAGGGTAAGGCTACAGTTGCCTTTGTTCTCAGATGAGTTTATACCCAGATGTTCAGTAAGAATCTGCCACTACAGCTGGTCAGAACTGAAACATTTCCCACCTCTTAGCATAAAGCTCTTTGGTCATTCTTTGCCAAGATTTATGGGGTTTTACTCTATGCATGTGTGGCTTAACACTTCAGCAAGAATTCAAGAGGACTCTATGCTAACCTCCTGGAGCTCTTTCTCTGAATGGCTCCCTCCTTCTGACACTATACTCTTTCCCTTCATTCCGGTTGCCTCAACCTCTCTGAATGAATCTCTGTTTCCTCACCTCAGCAAGACAGCCATTCTCTGCTTGGGAGTTCATCCACTGCACCGCAGTCTAGGAGGAAAGCTGGGCACTCTGTACAGCTCATCTCATTCATTCCCTTCTCTCAGGGACTGTAGTCCTATACTGCAATATCTGAAAATTTTTTTATTACATCTTAGTTTCTAGTTGTTGATGGTAGAAAAGTTAAGTCTTGGCCCTTTACTCCATCCTACTCTCTCCATATACATTTATGACTTTTTTCTCGTTACATTACTAACACATTGATATTGACACACGTACTTCTACAACACTATTTTTAATGGCTGAATACTGTTGTATCATATAAATCTAATTTGTGCAATTAATCCTTTCTTTCTAGAAATTTAAGAGTTTCCAAAGTTTTATTTTTCACAAACAGCACTGTGATGAACATTTTTATACTTCCCTATATACTTAATTTTAATTTCTTTAGGTAACTATTCAAAGAATTTTGGGGTCAAAGGCTTACATATTTGTAAAGTTTCTGATGTTGACAAAAGGTCTCCCAGAAAGATTTACACTCCCATTCACAGTATGTAAACTTACATTTCCTTTAAAACTCTTTAGTGGAAAATCTGCCTTAATTCAGTATTTTTTGGAAAAAGTATACTATGTGCTAAGCGTTGTGCTAAAAGGATGGAAACTTACAGATTAATAAAGCCACTGACACTGAAAAGAACTGAGTCCTTTCAGGAAGACATATGTAAAGAAACCATGACAGAGCAATGTAATGTAACTATAATACAGGTGTGCACTAAATACCAATGGTAAGGGGAGCCTGAAAGGAACAGTCCAGCCTGTGTCTAAAGTGAATATGAAAGACTGAAGCGTGGGGTCATCAGACACACCTGCGGAGACAGAGGAGCACGTTCCTGGCAGAGAGAACCGCACGTGCATAGGCGGTAAGGAGAGGAGAAGTGTTACCTTTTGAGAAACTATTAAGGCACAGGTCAGGGGTTTGTAGAACATAAACTAGCAAAGTTTTCAGGGTCTAAGTTAGTAAGGATTTTGTCTATCTTGCTAAGGAGTTTGGATTTTATCCTCAGAACAAAAACACAACCAGGTCTATATACAGGAAGTAGTGTTCTAGTGGCAGCTTGGGAGACTCACCAGACGCAGTAAGTTAGGGCAGAAACATTGGTTACTAAGTTACGGCAGCTGAGCAGGCTAAAGGTGATGGGATTTTGAAATAAGGAAACACATGGACTGGACGTGTTAGCTTTTCAGGAGACAGGACTCATGGCCTTGGAAACTGACTACACAGTGGAATGAGGCAGATCCAAGAGTCAAAAGCGACTCATGTCTAGCTTGGGAAACTGGGTGAGCTGGTGATAACCGTTCATTAAGCCTGGGAATATGGGAAACAGTCCAGGTTTGACCTGACAAACTATACCTTTATTCAGAACTGGACACTCTACAAGATGAACAGACTCACATTATCATGAGTCAGCAGCATGAATTAGCATGATCTATCCGTCCAACTGCTAGATTTCAAACTGAAGGCCCCCACAACTTAGAGGTCTGATTGATTTTCGAAAGCACTGATGAATCTGTATTCGTACCTTTTATTTTACTGTATCTCAAATCTTGTACCCTATAGTTTAGAAATGATTTAATAATCTTAATTAAAAAGTAACTAATTATAGATTCCCAATTCATTTTTCAAATTTATATATATATTTTTAAGACTTTATGTATTTATTTGACAGAGCACAAGCAGGGGGAGTGGCAGGCAGAGAGAGAGAGAGAAGCAGGCTCCCCACAGAGCAGGGAGCCGGAAGCAGGGCTCAATCCCAGGATCCTGGGATCATGACCCGAGCTGTGGGCAGACGCTTAACCGACTGAGCCACCCAGGCACCCCTCAAATTTATTTATTTTTAAGATTTTATTTATTTATTTGACAGTACAAGCAGGGGGAGCGGCAGGCAGAGAGAGAGGGAGAAGCAGGCTTCCCGCTGAGCAGGGAGCCCAATGAGGGACCGGATCCCAGGACCCTGGGATCATGACCTGAGCTGAAGGCAGCCACTTAACTGACTGAGCCACCCAGGCGCCCCACCCCTCAAATTTATACTTCTAATTTTTATCATGAAACTGGAAACTGAAGGGTTTTTTAATTCTATCATGAGGTACCTGGAGATTCCCATGGTTCTAACCTTTGTCTGGATCCACAGTTGAAAGGGGAGAAGGAACTGGCTATATATTTCCTATGCTACTCTCCATTTTTAAATATTACATAATTTTCTAATGCTAATAAGTGATATTCCAAGATTTTATCAAGAGTATCAAGAACATTCAAGTGCAGTTATTAAGAGGTGAAACTTTATAACTGATGACTAGCCCCAGATGACTGTATTTTACTTCTTCCTGTTTAAATCTGAGAAAGAGGGCACTGTTGTCATTCTCTTGTCTACATTTTCATGTTATGCCCTACTACCCTCTCACAGTGCTATTGATATAAAGAAAAAAGGTGTGCACCAGAAAAGAGATTCATAATAGCCCCCAAAGAATCCAGCTATCTTTCAGTGAGTGAACACATAAGCTATTATACATCTACACCATGGAATACTACTCAACACTAAAAAGCAATACTACTGATACGCAACTCTGATGACCTGTGGGGGAATTATGCTAAGTTAAAGAAGTCAATCTCAAAAAGACACATACTGTATCATCATATAACACCCAGGGATAGTTGTGCAAGTTGATTGTGGTGACCATTATGTGAATCTATACATGACAAAATTGCATAGAGCTATACACACACACACACACACACACACACACACACACACACACTAACACACTAAAACTTTATAAATGGGTCAAGTACTTTCTGAACTGCTACCTTCCCTCTTTCTTAAAAAGGAAAGACAAATCTCTTACCTGTGCTGCAGTTTGATAGGGCTTCTTTGGTCAGATCAATCACAGAATCACATTTCTTCTTCTCTACAGCCTGAAAAGTTGTTAAAAAACTAAGATTTTGCCTCAATAGCAGAAAATATTTAAAAAAAAAGAAAACACAGATTCTAAATTGCCATTTAGAAGCTGGAGACTGAACATTCTGTAAGTCCTTACCGTTTAACTCTATCAGGAGAGAGAAGCTCATGAAATACTATATGGTTTCTGAGAATATGACTAAGCAAAGTCTGAGTTAGTGTGGTAAATAAGTACGGCTGTGAAATGTGTTTGTCACTGTTTTAATGTTTAAGCTACGCTGGAACCTGGGTATGCTAACTAGTCAGGCATTAATTTCACAGAGAAAGAATCTCCCAAAGAATGAATGACAAAACTAAGTCACCCCCCAGCTAGCGACACTAAAGTTCACAGAACTAACATACTCAAATAAACAACATTCAGAGACAACATTTATTACCTACCGTAACTTCTGTTTCAGCACCAGGTGAATTATTAGAATTGTTGGAATTTCCTGATGTAGTTTTTCCAGTATCTGAAAGAAAATTATTAAAATATCAACATTTGACAAATTTATTAAGCTATTAAACTTTGTAATATATGAATGCTGAAACACAATGAAGATGCTCATTAACCATTTATTACATAATCACAGAAAATTCAATTGGCATTACCTATTCCAAAGACAAAGGAACCAATTCAAACAAAAAAAAAATCTAATTTGGGTTCAAAAGATTTTGTCCTTCTGTAACTTTACAACTATATCATTAACTCTTTTTTGAAAATCCATCTGTAAATTGATATGGCATTTGAGAAAACAGACTTGGAAATGTACACATTGTTTATTCACAGTATCTCTAACCCAGACTCTGGAGATGACTGAAGAGCATTCTATCTAGAACCAGGAGAAAACTCAGATAAATGCTTAATATCCCTTGTAAATATCTGATTCACAATCTTAACAGTCTGAGCCTTGGGGGCAATTGAGCGGCTGTGTGAGTGAAGGCAAAGCTTTCTGAAATCAAGAGGCAAATACTCTAAAATAGTAAAACATGAAAAGGAAATGGGGAATTTTGAATGAGAACTTAATAGGCCAACAAGATAGCCATTTTAAGAAACAGGAACTTCATTAGAAATCTGAGGGTAAGGATTTTTACATAAGTATAAGACAGAAACTCTAAAGAGGAACAAAGTATTCTCAAAAAACTGAAAGTTAAAAAAAAAAACAAGATGCTAAAGAATAGCCAAACTTTAAATCTTAAGATTAAACAAAAAGACAGACAAAACCAAATCACTACCACCAACACAGGCCAGAGCAAACACAGAAAAATAATGAAATATATGAAAGGTTAAGTAGTTTTGTAACTTACAAATCCATTAAACACAGTAAACAAACAAAAGGCCATAAATTGATAAACACAAGGTTAAAAAGAAACCTCAAGTATATGAAGGAATCATTTATTTATTCAGATAATATTAATGATGGATATAAATTAAAACACTTTTGAAAGAAGAATTACAATTTTTATTTTAATGAAAGATATTCAATTCTCTATTTTCAGCCAATACTGATTTGAGGCTTTCTAATTTCATAGATCATTTTAATCAACTTAAGATACCTGTTGGATTTGATGTAATTGGAGTTGTCAAATTAGGACTTTCCACAGAAATCAACGTAACATCATCATTGTTACTAAAATGATAAAATTAAAAACAAAAATAAACTAAACATGCATTATCAGGCTGAAACATGCAGTCAATGGTTAGAATTCTTCTGACTTAACATTTCATAACTGACACATTTTAATCTAACAATTGTGGTGGGGAACTGGAGATAAAACCAAATACTCAAGAAACCCGTATGTTGCCAGTTACATGACCAAAAGTGTCCCATAATGGATCCTTAAAACTTACTAGAGACCCATTTACAATGAATCCAAATACATAACCTATAAGCATACAATATACATAAATGTACAAAATATACAAAAGTCACCAAGGCAAGTACATGTACTTGCCTTGATGAAAATGAAAAGTATAACTGAAAAAACCCCAGTAAGACACTTTGACTCTTACAGCTACAGGACTATGACAAATAAGCCTATTAAAAAATTAGTCCTGCCATGATTCTACATTATGTCACTATAGTAGAAATACTGACCACACATTTACTAAACTAAGAGAGATGGTAAATGACGCTCATTACGGTTATTGCTCCCATTTGACCCTGACTCCACTTTCATGAGTTTGATATTTAAATCAGAATCTTTAAGATCTTAACACAAATTTCAATGAGCCCATAAAAACTGCTATGCATAGTTATACCACTTTCTTACAGATGTTTTTAATTTTTAGCTTTTGTACTTAGGTCTATGATGCATTTCAAATTATTTTTGTATATGGTGTGAGGTAAGAGGGGAGGTTCACTTTTCCCCTCTGGCTATTCCTGCAACAGCTGCTGACTATCTTTTCTCCAATAAATTACCTTGGCCTCTTTGTTGAAAACCAATGGACAATATATAATAGTCTCTAATCTGGCCACCAATTTATAGGTTTATCCTAAGACAACACCATTGTCTTAATTACTATAACTTTATAGAAGTCTTAAACTTAGTGTGTGTCTTCCAACTTTGTTCTTCTAACACTGCTTTCATCTTCTAGGTCTTTTGCATTTCACTAAGTTTTCAATCAGCTTGTTACTGTCCATAAAAAAGGCTGCCAGGATTTTGATTGCGATTGCATTAAATGTAAAGAATGATTTGGGTGAAGTGACATTAATAATCAATTTTCCCATATACTTACTGTCCCTAACCAACCTCTCCACCCACGCCTTCCCACCAAAATCCTATAGCACAGTGGTATGCTTGTTACAAAGGATAAACCTACACTGACACATGATTATCATAATCAAAGTCCATAGTATGATAGAGTTCACTTTTGCTGGTATACATTCCACACATTTTGACAAATATATAATGATACATATCCATCATTACAGTAGCATACAGAATAGTTTCACTGCCCTAAAAATCCCTGAGCTCTGCCTATTCATCCCACCTCATTAGCTCCTGGCAGTATTTGATCTTTTTACTGTCTTCATTGTTTCACCTTTTCTAGTATGTCATGTAGTTAGAATCATACAGTATACAACCTTCTCAGACTAACTTCTTTCAATTAGTAATATGCATTTAAGTTTCCTCTGTGTTTTTTCATAGCTTGAAGGCTCATTTCTTTTTTAGTAATGTCCATTGTCTGCATGTAATGATTTATTTATCCATTCACCTACTGAAGGACATTTTGGTTGCATCCACATTCTGGCAATTATGAATAAAACTGCATTGTATATGATTCTATTTTCTCTCCTTTCTTAGCCTATCAATTATACTTCTTTCTTAGGTGGTTCCCTTAAAGTCTCCAATATATATTTACAACTAATCCAAGTCCACTTTCAAATAATACTATACTCCTTCACAAGTAGTGGAACTACCTTACAATAACAAAATATTCCTAAGTTCTCCTACTTGTTCCTTATATCATTGCTGTTATTCATTTAAACACACACACACACACACACACACACACAAATACACTGTTGCTATTATTTTGAACTACTGTCAAATCAATTAATAAGAGAAATAAATTTCTATTTTACTTTCACTCATTCCTTCTCCAAAGATCTTGTGTGTAGATCTGATTTTCTGGCTTATTTTCCTTCTTTGTGAAGAATTTTTAACACTTCTTAGAAGGCAGGTCTATAGGCAACAAATACCCTAAATTTTTGTTTGAGAAAGTCTGTATTTCTCCTTCACTTTTGAAGGACAGTGTCACAGAGTACAGAATTTTAAGCTGGTGGTTTTGTTCTCTGAATACTTTAAAGTATTTCACTCCACCCTCGTCTTCCTTGCACAGTTTCTAAGGAGACGTTGGATGCAGTTCTCATCTTTGCTCCACTATGGGTAAGGTGTTTTTTCCTCTGGCTTCTTTCAAGATTTTATCTCTGATTTTCTGAATTTTAAATATTATATGCTTAAATGTAGTTTTTTGGTATTTATCCTGCTTAGTGTTCTCTGAGCTTGGTATTTAACATTAATTTGGGGGAAATTCTTAGTCATTATGGCTTCAAACACTGTTTTTGTTCCTTTTTCTCTGCACACCCCCTCCCTTACCCTTCTGGTGTTCCCATTATGCTTAGGTTATTCCCTTTGTAGTTTGTCCCACATTCTTGGATATTTTTGTTGTTGTCTTTTCTTCTCTTTACTTTTCTGTTTTGAAGTTCCTATTGTCAGACTCTCAAGCTCAGTGATCCTTTCCTCAGAGGTATCTAATCTACCAATAAGTCCATCAAAGTCATCATTGTTAGTTTTGATCTCAAGCATTTCCATTTCTCTGCTTATTTATTCACCTGTTTTTGCATTTTTTCTACTTTTTTTCACTGAAGCCCTTAGCAAATAGTTTTTCAAAATTCCTGGTCTGGTAAGTTAAACAGTCCTGTCATAGCTGACTCTGCTTCTGATGCTTGTTTAGTCTCTTCAAATCATGTTTCTTGCCTTTTAGTATGTCTTGTGATTTTTTGTTGAATGGTGGACCCAATGTACTGGATAAAAGGACCTATGATAAACAGGCCTTTGGTAATGCAGTGGTTCTACTAATCCTATGATTAGCTCTCAGTCTTTTAAGTAAGTCTATGCCCCTGGAGTGTGAACTTCACTAGCACTTCTTAGTTACCCACCCCCTTTAGGTGGGACAGATGGCTGGAGCAGCTAGAGCTGGGTATTCACTTCCTCCATATGGAAAGCTAGAGGGAGCAGGAGTTGGGGATTTCATTCCCCCAGGTAGGTTAAGTTCTAGTAGTAGTTTCTCCCTAGGACAGGCCTTGTTAAGAACAGAGTGGTCTGGTATATTTCAAAAGGTTCCTTTTGCCAACTGGCTGCTGCAAGCACGAAGGGATTTTTCTCCAATATTCACTGTCAGGACCTGGTAGAACTCTTGGAAGTAAAACACAAAATTATGGGCCTCGCCCTGGAGTTTTTAACTCTTGATTTGTCTATTCTGAGCCTCCAGCAATTAGTTTACGTTTTCCTAAACTGGCATTGGTTCCCATGGAAGCTTCTGCTTCTGGGTTTCTGCTCCAGTTCCCAAATGTTGTGATTACCATTTCTGCCCATTTGTTGCTCCAATTTTGGGGGCAGTATTTTGTTCTGTGACCATACTTCTCTAATGGATCTAAGAAGAGGTGTTGATTTTTTCCAGTTTATTGAGCTTTTTACTTGTTAGAATGGAGTGATAACTCCTTATGTGCTAGATCACAAATCTGAAATTTGAAATTCCAACTGTTTGTTGCCTGTATACAGAAACACCATAAATGGTATAATTTATATTATACACACACACATATATATATATACATACCACATAATATAGAGGAACAGTATGATATATACACACATATATACCCTATATAGAAGTACAGAAAAATATTTTATATTACCCACATATTTAAAATATCCAGTACTCTTCATCTCTTCACCTTTGCATAGATCCAAATTTCCATCTGGTTTTATTTTCCTTCTGCCTGTAAAATTTCCTTTAACATTTTCTGCAGTGCAGGTCCACTGCTGATGTATTCCCCACGGCCCTCCCCCAGCTTTTTTTTGTGTGCAAATGTGTTTTCCCCTAATACCTGAAAGATATTTTCACACAGTGTAGAAATTTTAATGGGTAGTTTTTCTTTCAACATTTTAGAGATGCCTTCTGCATTTCAAAACTTTAGAGATGTCTTTTAGTTTGCATAGTGCACAGCAAGAGGTCTCCTGATCTTTTTTGTTCCTTTCTATGTAATGAGTCTTTTCTCTCTGGCTGCTTTTAGATTATGATGTGGTTTTCCTTTACGCTTCTCAACTGTTTTGGTTTTTTTTTTTTTTAATATTTATGGGTTTTGAATTTTCACCAAATTTGGAAAAATTTTAGATGTTACATCTTTCCTCCCTCCCCCCGCCCCCAGCCTGGTGAAACTTCAATGATATATATATTAGACTGCTTGATACTGTTCCAAAGGTCTCTAATGCTCTGTTCATCTTCTTTGTTAAGTCTTTTTTCTTCCCATGCCTTTGTTTGAACAGTTTCTATTGTTATTCCACTGTCTTTTTTAAAATCAATAGTTATCTATTTTGTTGTTAATCCTAATCAATGTACTTTTCATACTTCAGTTATTGTCTTTTTCATTTCTAGTTCAACTTGGGTTTTTTTTTTAACATCTGCCATTTTCACATTTTCCTTTATATTGTTGGGACATGAACACTAAATTGATAATAGCTGTTTTATGTTGTTGTTGTCCATCAAACATATTGTTTCTAGGTCTGTTTCTAGCATTTCAGTCTTCTCCTTGCTATGAATTATATTTTTTGCTACTTTGCATGTCTGGTAATTTTTGATTAGATGTCAGACATTGTAGAATTCACATTGTTGAATGATGGATGTTTCATTCTTTCAAAGAGTGCTGGACCATGGGTGCCTGGGTGGTTCAGTCAGTTAAGCGTCTACCTTCAGCTCAGGTCATGATCTCAGGGTCTTAGGATCAAGCCCTGACTCGGGCTCCATGCTCAGCAGAGAGCCTGCTTTCCCCCCTCCCTCTGCCTATTGCTCCCCATGCTTGTGCTCTGTCAAATAAATAAATAAAATCTTAAAAAGAAAAGA